GCCCCTTGAGTGTGGCTCTTACACAAAATACCACGTGCGGGTGCGAACATACAGTGCAATTGAACTTTGTGGCCCATGCGCAGAAGTCAGTATTTTGTGGAAGAGCCACACTCAAGGGGCCAAAGAGCCGCATGTGGCTCGTGAGCCGCAATTTGCCGACCACTGGACTAGGGGCCTCTGGGCGGGGGACGGCCCGGCCCAGGCTGTGGCCACAGTGGATGCTGTGTGGTGGCAGCAAGTGAGCGAGGGCGGGCGGGCAGGCGAGGCGAGTGGAGGTGGGCAGGTGCCCGAGTCCCCGAGGAGGCCATCGGGGGAGGTGTGTGTGCCGAGGGCTCCTGAGCCCCTCCCGCAGGAGCAGGCGGGACGGGGCTGCTGGCCCACCGGAGGGTTCCAGAGCCCATCTGTCCTCCCCCACGGGCCTGTCTGGCAGGCGGGCCCAGGGCGTGGCAGTCTCCTGAGCAGAGAGGGTGTGGCACGCCTCATCCCACACCCTTCCTCGTGGGCCAGCCCTGCTCCCCAGACAGGCAGCCACCAGGAGCGCAGCAAGGAGAGGCCACCCACCTCAGCGCTCAAGTGGCAGATGGGGAGCTGTGGGGTCAGTGAGAGGCTCTGGGGCTGGTCACCCCTTGCTCCACCAGGGAAGGCAAACAGGGACCCGAGGCCCGTGTGCATCTCCTGCCGCCTGTCAGTACCCAGTGCAGACGGCACCCCTGTGGCCCTCAGCGACTCCATCCATGGGCCCTCGGGCACCCAGACCTCCGACAGAGCCGGTCCTCTAGCAGCAGGGGCACCTTCTGCGATGGGCTTCAGGCCCCCCAGCAGGGACTCGCCGCCTCACGCTCGGTGTGTGGCAGGCACGTCTTCTGCCGTCTGTGGCTGCGACTAGAGGGACCTGGAAGCAGGGGCCTCCCTCGGGCAGGGAGGCTCCCCCTGTCCTGGCTCTCCAGGTCCAGCTGCAGGCCACTGGGTGCCCTGACCGCAGAGTTGGCCTCTAGGCCTCAGGATGCGCGTAGCAGTCTTCTGCCCATGCCTGGGTCCGTGTGCGTCGGGGCAGCGGGGCCCGCCACGCCCCCTCGTGGCGAGACCTTGGGTGAGGTGGCTGCAGGGCTGCGGCTGCCGGCGGACACAGAGGAGCTCCCTGTGCGTGCCGGGCCCTGCCCTAGAGGTCACCTGGGGAGCCAGGTGGAGCCCATGTGGCCTTAGCTGGGGACACGTGTCTGCCAGGTGACATGCACGTCCTGGTTTTGTGGGTCCAGGAAGAACCCCACACTCGTCTGTTTCCTGGTGGGTGGGGTTCTGTGTGGCGGCCTCCCTGTGGGTCCTGGGTGGGCAGGGCTGGATGTGGCAGCAGACACAGAACCTCCCGGAAATGTGCATGCGTGTGTGCTTTGTGAACGCATGTGTGTCTGGGCGTGTCCTGTCTTGGCCTCTTTAGAAGCGGTTGTGGGGTCAGGATTCATCCCAGTCTCACACCTGGTCTCTGGGATGTTGGCCTTTGGTGGATTGACCGCCCTGGTGGCCCCATCTAAGGGCTTTCGCACCAAACCGGAGTCTGCAGGGAGGAGCCGGGCCACACGCCGCCCCAGTGCTGGAGCCTCGAGAACCAGGCCGCTGCCTCGCCTCTCGGAGCGAGTGTCCTCTCCTGGGGCTGACGGTGTGAGGCCCCTGCCCTGAGCCCCCTTCTGTCTGGGACCCCTCACCCTTCTCAGTCTTGTCCTGGAGGCACCGTGACCTGGCTCAGCGCACACACAGGAGCCGGCTGCCTGCCCAGCCACTCCCTGCCCCAGGGTGAGCTCAGAGGTCAGTGTGCAGTCACGGCTGTGACAGAGGCCCAAGGGGAAGCCGTGTCTGCAGAGCAAGGCTGCTGGGGGATCTGGCTGAGCCTAGAGGAGGGGCCAGAGTCAGCGGTGAAGGAGCGAGGGAAGAGGACACAGCCCGCGCCAGCCAGGGAGAGGCCAAGGGGAGGTCCCAGGGGCGGGGAGAGACTCGAAGGTGCAGGTGGCCTGCGCTCTTCTCCCAAGGCAGTAAGAGCCACTGAAGCAGGTTCCACAGGAGCTGGGGGTTCAGGTTTGGGGCCACAAGCTACTCTCTCCGGAGGGGCTGGAACAGGAATTGCCCAGGGCCCTGCCCACACTGTGTGGAGGCCTCAGCGCGCAGCACCAGCCTGTGGCGGCCGGGGACCGGCTGGAGGTGGCCCGCTGCCCTGGCTGCACACCGTGGGACCCATCTTCCTTCTGCCCGGAGCCTCCGCGAGCTGCCCCTCCAGCGCGGGCCCTGCTGGGAGGGGAAGGGGTGCCCAGCCCCCTCAGGAAGGTGCTCAAGAACTGCTGCCCTGTAGTGTCCTGGGGGTGCCCTCCTGCGGCTGGAGTGCCTCCCTCGGTACCCCACCTTGTCCTTGCCACTACCGTGCCTACCCCCTGGGGCCTCTGACCCATGGTCAGACCAGGACAATGCCAGCAGAACCCCCAAGGCTCTTCCAGACGGCAGCGTGAGGGGTGGCGGATGAGTTGGGTGCTCTTGTTGGGCCTCAGTGAGGAGGGCAGTGTGGGTGCCGTCCAGCGGGAGTGGTGTGTGGGGCCGAGTTGGCCCCTGCTACCCACCCCACCGTGTACGTCAGCTCTGCCCACCCTGGGGCCTCCGACAACAGCGGGCGAAGCCCACACCCAGGCCTGCCCTGGCACCTGGGGCCAGCCATTCCTGTTCTTCAGGGACATGGTCACGTCGGCACCTGCCCCGGCGAGGTGGGTACAGAGCCTCCCTGGAGTCATTTCTCCCGTCGCGCGGACACGCCCTGTGGACAGGGGTCCCGGCTCTGTGGGGCTGGCATGGTTCTTGGGAAACAGCACAAATTACGGATTGTAGTTCACCGGGGCCTGGGCTGGGCTCTGCTGGTGCCGCCCCCCGGCCTCTCGGGAGCCTGGGCGTGGGTGTGCCTGGGTGGCGCTGAGCATGTGCTGTGAACAGCTCTTTAAGCCACTGGTTCTAAGCGCATGGGCTCGGGGGACTCGGTGCTCCGGCCCAGCAGGTAAGACCCGGCTGTCCCGGGAACTGTGGCCAGTGGCAGGGCACCAAGGCGAGCACCGCATGGTCACACGCGGCCAGGACGGTGGCTGGGTCTCTCATTTCTGGCCGTTCTGAGATCTCAGCCTAAGGGTTCACATCAGAGGTGAAGTCTAGGGCCCACAGTGAGACTGAGCATCAGACAGATCCAGCCCCCCAACCCCACCCACCCCCGGCCCCGTGTGTTCTGCACCTCACCACCCCGTCTCGTTGCAGGAAGTTCTACTACATCACACTGCTGCGCGACCCCGTGTCCCGCTACCTGAGCGAGTGGCGGCACGTGCAGCGCGGGGCCACCTGGAAGACCTCCCTGCACATGTGTGACGGGCGCACGCCCACGCCCGAGGAGCTGCCGCCCTGCTACGAGGGCACGGACTGGTCGGGCTGCACGCTGCAGGAGTTCATGGACTGCCCCTACAACCTGGCCAACAACCGCCAGGTGCGCATGCTGGCCGACCTGAGCCTGGTGGGCTGCTACAACCTGTCCTTCGTCCCCGAGGGCCGGCGGGCCCAGCTGCTGCTGGACAGTGCCAAGAAGAACCTGCGGGGCATGGCCTTCTTCGGCCTGACCGAGTTCCAGCGCAAGACGCAGTACCTGTTCGAGCGGACGTTCAACCTCAAGTTCATCCGGCCCTTCATGCAGTACAACAGCACCCGGGCAGGCGGCGTGGAGGTGGACGCGGACACCGTCCGGCGCATCGAGGAGCTCAACGACCTGGACGTGCAGCTCTACGACTACGCCCGAGACCTGTTCCAGCAGCGCTACCAGTACAAGCGGCAGCTGGAGCGCAGGGAGCAGCGCCTCCGGAGCCGCGAGGAGCGCCTACTGCACCGCGCCCAGGAGGCGCCGCGGGAGGAGGCGGAGGAGCCGGGCCGTGTGCCCACCGAGGACTACATGAGCCACATCATCGAGAAGTGGTAGTGGCAGCTGGAGGCCCGCCGGGGGGAGGGGACATCGGAGAGACGGCTCACGGCTGTCAGCACTCGGGTGAGAAGAGTCCCGGGCCCACTCCCCGAGGGCAGGTGCGTCCGGAACTCAGACGGGGATGGGCAGTGGCCCGGTGGGGCTGGTGCTCCCCGGTTCCCAGGCCTGGGTCTGAGGAACCCATCTGTGCCGCCCACAGGCTCAGAGGAGGGCGAGCGGAGGCCAGGGGCCTGCACGGGCTGGGAGGCAGCAGCCCGCTGGCCCCTCACTTCACAGCAGCTGGAGGTTTGAAGATAAGGGACAGACCGTGGAGCGGAGAGTAGGGAGTGGCCCTGCAGACCAGGGGGAAGCGGCCCCTGCCCGCTGAGCACACCCCTCTCTCTCGGGCTGTAGGGTTCGTCCTGCTTGAGCCATCCCACGGCCCTGGGCCTCCCGCCCCCTCCTTGGGCCTGCAAGCCCTTGAGGTGTCAGGAGGGGGCTCTACACTCACCTGTGTTCAGCAACAGGCCACCCCTCTGAAGCCAGGAGGACTCTGGTCCAGCCCTGGGAGCTCCCTCCCCCGCCCCGCTCCCCCCACCTCCTGCTTCGGGTCAGGTTAGACAATCCTGCCCCATCCCTTTTCTGTCCTCACCGACAGGAGGCATGGAGAGTGCAGCCAGGAGTGGGAGCGGGAAGGCTGCCTCTGAGCCCGCCGTTGGGTGCCCCCATCAGCCCAGCTCAGTCAGGGGCCGTAGCTGAGGGCCCCTGCCCTGTCCTCTGGCTCCTGGTACTTGTGAGGACTGCCTGGCCCGGAGCCCCACCCCACTGCTCTCCGCCCCCATCCCCCCTCCGGCCCATGTATACCCGTCCAGCTCGGGCCAGGGTGGTTCTGGACAGCAGGACAGGAGTGCGGGCTCACGGGTTCCTGCCTGGTCAGGAGAAACGGCTCCAGGCTCCCTGGCACCCCCCCTTGGGCTCCCAGCATTGCCCCGCCCCCCTCACCCAAGGCTGGCAGGCCCTGCAAACTGGAACGCCATGCTCTGAGGCACACCCTTCCGAGTGAGGCCCAAAACCTGGGTTCCGGGGAGCTGAGTGAGCCCCACATGAGGAGGACCCGCGCCCCGTTCCAGGAGAGGCAGTGGGCGGGGCACAGGCCGCTCACGAGGGGCCAGCCAGGGCAGCAGCCTCACAGGCGGGTCCCACCCAGGTCCCGCCAGCCCCGCTGCCCCAGGGAGGGAGGGTGCGAGCAGGAGCCTCTGGTCACAGGACGCCAGTTGGGGTCCGTGAGGCGGCTGTCCACAGGGCAGGGCTTTGTCCTGTCAGCTTCCTGCACTGGCCACTCCGTCTTGTGTCCAAGGCAGAGCAGCCAGCAGGCCGGTGGGCGTTGAGCCAGTCCAGCCCAGGGCCGCCCAGGGGTGGGCGGGCATGTGGAGACCAGCACCCGGGTGACTTAGTTAGTGGCCCTTAAAGGGAAGCAGAGGACAACATGGCAGAGGCGGGGTCTGCACCGACACTCAGCACAGCTGCAGGCGCAGGAGCTTGGGAGCGGCCGCCTCCGGATGCCCAGGCCCTTCGCCCCCGGCCGGCTCTGCTGCAGTGGTTCCCGGGGTGACCTGAGCCAGGACCTGGCCGCCCGCGGGGGAATGTTTCAACCACGGCCTGTGCCCGTTCCCACGGAAACATGGTCCCTCCTCGGTTCCTTTACTGTGTCTGGAAAGCAGTGCTGTCTCGGCCAGCACCCAGACGGAGGCGCCCAGAGGAGGTGCGGGCCCTCGCACGTCCCACACAGGCCGCCTGCTGGACGAGGAAGGGTCCCCGTGCCTACAGACTCGGCTGCTATGCCCAGGGCAGGGCTCCTCGGTGGCACAGGTGGCCCCGCCCAGACCCCTCCTGCGCTGAGAGGAAGGAGCAGCACAGGGAGGGACCCTCGCTCCCCACACAGGCCCCTCCTGGGCAGCCAGGCCAGTGTGCCCGAGCCTGAACTCTGAGAACTGGAAGTGTTTAACTTGGACCAAGGAGCATTTAAAGCTTTATTTATTTATAGCTTCTTGTTTAAAAACAAAGTGTTGAGAAGAAATCTTCGGTTATTCATACAAAAACTGAGTTGATGGGAGACAAGTCATAATCCAATTGTTTTTGTCGAGGACAAGAGCGAATGTTACTGATGAAATAAACCCTGAAAAGGAGCCGGTGTGCTGTGTCTGTGGTGACAGGGCCTGGGGTCTCGGTTGGTTTTCAGATGCCCCTCGGGCCCAGGACCAGGGGGGTGGAGGGGCCCAGGCCTCCACTGCTGGGCCGCTCCCCTCGTGGCTGCTGCCCCCAGCCCTGCCTCCCTCTCCGTGCCCTGGTCACACCCAGCACTCGGCTGTGACGAGCAGCTGCAACTTCCTGGGTGGCCTGCTCCCTGCATCCTTCCCGTGTCCTCACTCAGACTGTCCCAGCAAGCGCTTATCCTCACGGGAGGCTCTGGGCCACATCCTCCCCTCTACCTAGCTCAGTGGACGGCAAACTCATTAGTCAACAGAGCCAAATATCAACAGTACAACGATTGAAATTTCTTTTGAGAGCCAAATTTTTTAAACTTAAACTATATAGGTAGGTACATTGTTATTACTTAATTAGGGTACTCCTAAGCTGGCCTTCCCTAAAACATCCTCAATCTGATTGAGGTACATTCGCTGAGGTCGACCCCTTCCAACTCTCCCACCCACACTCGTCTTGTATACGTGTTTCGTCTATTCCTTTCTGAAAACCGACTTCTGCGCACGGGCCACGAAGTTTCAATCGCACTGTATGTGCGCGCCCGCACGTGGTATTTTTGGAAGAGCCACACTCAAGGGGCCAAGGAGCCGCATGTGGCTCTCGAGCCGCGGTTTGCCGACCACTGAACTAGGGGGTCACCCACCCCGCTCTGCAACAGCCCCCATGCTGGCAGCCCAGGGCACTTAGGGTTCCTGGGCAGGAACCGGGCCTCGGGCCTCAGGACGTGGAGGCCTGGGGCTGGGGGTGGGGGGACTGGATGCAGCAGTATGTGGGGGCCCTTTGCTCAGCACTGTCCTGGCCCTAGGTCCCCTCCTCACAGCTCCTGCTCCAGCGGACCCACTCGGTCCCACCCACCTCGCTGCCCACCCACTCGGTCCCGCCCACCTCGCTGCCCGCCACACAGCAGAGCCCTCCTTTTCCTTCTCTTCCCTCGAAGGGCCAGTGAGCTGCTGCGTCCCCAGCCTCCTGCCCACCAGCCCAGCTGCCAGCCACCTCGCCGGGCGGGTTGCACGGCCTTTTCTCCCATCAATCAGCGCCGGAGCCTCGGTGGCTGGGCTCCCTCCACCCCAGGCCTGGGTGCTCGCACCAGCCTCGGGCTTAGGGGGACCCAGCTCCCGGCAGGCCAGGGGGTCTGACTTCACACCGCCCTGCCCAGACCCTCCCCAGACACGCCCTTTTTAAAGACGCTGCTCACATCCTGACTGTTCCCATTTCCTCCGAAGTGGGATTGATTTTCCTTAATTTGTTCGATGTCATAGTCTCCTAGTTGGAGCCAGTGGGTCAGGGTCCCCTGTACTCTGGTGGGACCCGGCCCAGGGGCACGCCTGTCCCGTGACGGCCCCTCCTCGCCCCCTGCCACCTTGTCAGTAAAGCCCCCAGGCCTGGCCGGACCCCAGCCTGTCCTCAGCTCGACAGACTGGACAGTCCAGTCGACAGTCGGGCAGTGGTGTCAGCTCCTGGCTTGGGTGAGACACTGGTCCCTCAGGGCAGTCTGTCCCTCCACGCTCTGAGCCCCCAGCTCCCTTGGCCCTGCTGCCCCTCCCTCCAGCCCCTCCCCCAACCCCGCTGCTCCCCAGATAGGTCCCCCACCACCAGCCATGGAGGCCCGGCTCTGATTGGCCGCATGCCATTTCCGTGCCACTGTGACTGGTCGGACACTGTTCCTCTCTGAGCCCATCCATGCTGTTCCCAGGCCTGACCCTGCCCAAGGCCATGGCTGCCTCCCCACCTCTGCCGAGGGCTCCCCCACACAGCGTCCCCGCAGCTCTCACCACCCCCTCTAATGGGCCCACCCGCCCAACCGACCAGCCCTGCCCTGTGGCTCCTGGAACCCGGGGTTTCTCCGAAATGAACCTGGGCTGTGGGAACACATTGTTCTCAAACGGAGGCCTCTCCAAGGTCCTGGGAGCCGGCCTGGCCTCCGGCAGCCTCGTGGGCCCAGGGCCCTGGAGCTGCAGGCAGCCTGGCCCAGAGCCCGGGAGGGACCGCGTGCGGGCGCCGCGGCTGGAGGGTCCGGCTCTGCGGGAAGGGCTTGCGGGGAACTGGGCTTCCGGCCGGAATACTCATGGCTCAGCCCTGCAGGACGGGACAGGCCGAGCTCCGGCTCCCACTCCTTCCGGAAGCAATTTCTTCACTTCAAGGGATTTAAAGCCCAGGCGTGAGAGGCGCCTGCTGACTGTCCCCTGGTATTTGTCTCCCCTCCTCCTCCCACTCTCAGTGGGGCTCCGCCCACCCCTCAGGCAGGTGGAGGAGGGAGCCTGCAGCTGCAGGAAAGTCCTGAGGGAAAAGCAGTGGCCCCCGCTGCTCCCTCCCCGCGTGGCTGGGATGGGGAGGTGGTGGCTGCAGGCCAAGCAACCACTTGCGCCATGAAGGAGGAGCCTTGTGTGAAGATGGGAGAGCCGCTGACAGGCCCTGAGGGTGACGGCCACCTGCCGGCCTGGGCCTGTGTATATGTATGTGTTTGATATAGTTTTCAGAAAAGAAGGGAGAGGGAGAGAAAGATAGAAACATCAATGATGAGAGAGAATCACTGATCAGCCGCCTCCTGCACACCCCCTACGGGGGGTTGAGCCCCGCAATCCGGTCATGTGCCCTTGACCGGAATTGAATCCAGGACCCTTTAGTCCAGCGGTTCTCAACCTGTGGGTCGTGACCCCTTTGGGGCTTGAACAACCCTTTCACAGGGGTCGCCTAAGACCATCGGAAAACACATATATAATTACATATTGTTTTTGTGATTAATCACTATGCTCTAATTATGTTCAATTTGTAACAATGAAAATAATCCTGCATATCAGATATTTACATTACGATTCATAACA